AAAAAAAAAAAGGGTTACATTGCATCAAGTGAGATATTTATTACAGAAAAATAGATTAAATGTCTATGAAAAAAACTGTGACTATTGGTTGATTTCTTAAACGAAAATAATTCATTTTGAATATAATTAATATAATATATCTTTATGGGTTATATAAACCTGGGTCATAAAACATATAGAGTTTATGAAATTGTAAAGAGTTTTAAGAGAAATATAAAAGATTTAACCTTGTTTTATTCTTCCTCAGTTTAATAGCTCTATCTCTTCTTCTTATCAAGTTCAATACTTGATGTCAGAACATAGGTTAAGCTATGACCTCTTCTTCAAATACCATCTAACTTTAGATCCCCCAGATTGACAAAAGAAAATTATGACATATGGTGTATTCAAATAGAGGTTCTTCTAGGCTCCCAAGATATATTGAAGTTTATAGAAGATGGATTTGTTGAACCAAGTCTAACAAGAAAACAACTAAAGAGAAAAGAGAAAAAAACCTTATCCATGTTCTACCAAGGGCTTGACAATATAATGTTCGAGATCATCGCTCTAGCAAATACTCCAAAAGAGGCTTGGGAAATGCTTCAAAAAGCATTTGGTGGTATTGATAAAGTAAAAAAACTTCTTCTACAAGTTCTATGGAAAAATTAAAACAAGGTACTTCTAAAACTATTTCTGATTACTTCTCAAAAATTATTTTTATTGTTCATCAAATAAGACGAAACTATGAACAAATAAGTGATCAAAAGAGTAATAGAAAAAATACTGAGATTTCTAGATCCAAAATTTGATTTTATTGTTTTTGTGATTGAAGAATCTAAAGATTTGAAAAAAATATCTTTAGAACAACTTATGGATTTCGTTCATGAACAAATGATTACAAAAAGAGAATAAAACAAAACTATAGAGTAAGCGTTACAAACTAAGCTTACTCTTGAAAATAAATGTAAATCAAATTCTCACAGAGAAAGAGGGCGTGAACAAAAAGGAAGAGGAGAAAGAAATCAAACCAATCAAGAATCTCCAAATAATAAAAATAATGGAGAAATTTCTAACCAAAGAGTTTGAGGTTATCGTCGAGGAAGTTGTCGAGGCCATGGCAAAAATTATAAAAGATCTGAAATATAATACTATGTTTGCAAAATGTATGGATATTACTCCTATGAATATTATTATAATCCAAATAATTAAGGTTATAAAATAAATTTTGTTGAGGAAAAAAAAATGAAAATCAAGTTTTACTAATGACTTATGATAATTTGAAAGATGATCAGTTTATGACATGTTATCTAGATATATGAGCCTCAAATCATATGTATGGTATCAAAGATCTAATTTCAGAAATAGATATAAGTTATTATGGGGACATTACATTTGGTGATCTGTCTCAAGGACCACTGAGAGGCAAAAGTAAAATTTTTCTTGGACTTAATAATAGTAAAGAATTATACATTTCATATGTTTATTATATTCGTGATGTAAAAAATAATATTCTAAGATCGAGGTAATTACTTGAAATATATATAATATTAAGATGAAAGTTATCACTCTTTCTATTCATGATGAGAATAAAAAATTAATCTGATATGTGAAAATGGTAAAGAACAGAATGTTTCCTCTACGTTTATGTATTTTTGATCGGTCAAATTATTTTAAAACTGATATTAAGGATATTTCTACACTATGGCATCTTAGATATGTTCAGTTGAATTTTGAGACTTTGAAACTTCAACAAAAGTATAATATGGTGATAGAAATTCCAAGAATTGATTGCCCATCAAAATTATATGAAGTGTGTGTCACGGGTAAGCAAGAAAGAAAAACTTTCAAAGTCAAAAGAACAAAAAGAGTATGACATTGACTTGATCTGATGTACTTTGATGTTTATGGCGTTATCAGTCCAATATCACTTAGAGGAAGTAGTTATTTTCTTACTTTTACTTATGATCATATTAGTAAAAGTTGAGTATATATGTTAAAAGAAAAGAAAGAAGTCTTAAGCAAATTCAAAAAATTTAAGGATTTAGTTGAAAGACAAAGTGGTAGTAAGATTAAATGTTTAAGAATAAATACGGGTGGTGAATATAGATCAAATGAATTTGAAAGTCTTTATAGAAATAATGAGATTTTATATCAATTCACCATGCCATATACACCTCAACAAAATGATGTCTCATAAAGAAAAAATAAAACTATACTTAATATGGTCCGATATATGTTAAAAGAAAGAAAATTTCCTAAAGAATTTTGGGGAGATGTTATTATCTGTGCAGTTTATTTGCTTAACAAGTTTCCTACAAGGCAAATTGGTAATTTTACACTAGAAGAAGTATATAGCTTGCAGAAATTAAGAGTCGATCATTTAAGAATTTTTAGAAATGTTGCATTTGCTAAGATACGAAAAGAAAAGAGAACAAAACTGGAGGCTAAAAGTCAAAAATATATTTTGCTAGGTTATCCAGAAAATTCCAATGGCTATAAACCATACAATCCTATTACAAATAAAATTGTGATGTTAAGAGATGTTGAGTTTGATGAGCAACAGATTTGGAATTGGAAAAGTGATGAGCAGCATAAGAAAGCCATAGCTTTAGAAGAGGATGATATAATACAAGCAAACACCGAAGTGGCTTTGCTGAAATCATTACCTAGATTAGCTATGTCATATGATTCAAGAAGTCCGATTATAAGAAGGACAAGACTTGATATGATGTGACTCGAATGATTGATACTAATAATGATGAACTTTTTTTATTTTATCTTTTTACAGAATATGATCCATTAACCTTCGAAGAAGCTTGTAGATAAGAAAAATGAGAATAAGCTATGAATAAGGAGATTTGTGCTATTAACAAAAATGATACAATGGAGCTTACTACACTTCCAGAAGACCAATAAACGATCAGTGTTAAGTGGATCTTTAAAACAAAAAGAAATGCAAAAGTAGAGATAGAGAAATGCAACGCCCGATTGGTTATAAAGGGATACAAACAACAATATGAGATTGACTATAACGAAGTATTTATACCAATTGCTCGATTGAAGACACTAAGATTACTTATCTCCCTAGTAGCTCAAATGAAATAAAAAATTTTACAAATAAATTGTAAATCAGTATTTCGTATTTGGAGTTCTTAAAAAAGAGATATATATTCAATAACCCTTTGACTTTATTATTCATGAATAAAAAGATAAAATATACAAGTTAAATAGAGCTCTTTATGGGCTTAAACAAGCCCCACCATTCTCAAATATATGCTTATTTTATTCAAAATAATTTTTTAAATATCTACATGAATATGTTCTCTATATGAAATCTAACTCTAATGGAGATATCTTGTTTGTATGTTTATATGTATATGATTTAATATTTATAAGCAATAGTAGCTTTATGATTAAAGATTTTAAACACTCTATGAAAAAGAAATTTGAGATGACCAACTTGGGCCTAATGACTTATTTTTTCGATATCGAAGTTATACAAGACAATAGAGGAATTTTTTATCTCACAAAAAAATTATGTAAAGGAGGTTTTAAAGAAGTTTTCCATGGAAGATTATTACCCTATAGATATACCTATTGAATATGATACCAAGTTGACCAAGAAATGTGAAGGTAAATACATTAATCCAACTTATTATAAAAATCTAATTGGATGTTTAAGATATTTGACATGCTATATATACTATTTGAAGTTAGTTTAATAAATAGATATATGGAAGCTCCTAAGATATCTTATTTAAATATCGTTAAAAAAAATTTTGTGATATATTAAAGGAACAATTGAGTATAAAATGTTTTGTTCATCATCCAAAAGGTTAGAGCTTATTGGATACAGTGACAATGATTGGGTCGAAAGCTACGATGATCAGAAATGTATAACTAGATTTGTATTTTATTTTGGTAAAGCTATATTCACTTGGTCTTAAAAAAATAGTAAATTATTGCTCTATCAAGTTGTGAAGCAGAATATATAGCAGCATCTTCTTTGTGTTTGTCATATAATCTAGCAAGAAGATTACTATAAGAACTTCATATGTCACAGGAGAAGTTAATCAAGATTTATATTGATAACAAATTAGTTATTGCCTTATAAAAGATCAAGACAAATCAAAGCATATCGACACAATATTTCATTTTATAAGAGATCATATCATAAATAAAGAAGTGGAGCTACATCATGTCAAGACAAGTGAACAAGTGATCCATATACTTTCAAAACCTTTTAAATTTGAAATATTTTAGTAACTTCGAAAGAAACTTGACATATTAGATGAAACAAATTTAAGGGAGAAGAATGTTAGAATTAAACTTATAAAAGTATCATAAAAAAGTTAATTTCATCAAAAAGAAGGTTCATTGTATCAAAAGTAAAAATAAATTAAATGTAAGTCAAATTGACTATTGATAATTAAAATAGTTTCTTAAAAAAAAATATATTTTGAATACATTAATATAATGTATCTTTGATGGCTATATAAATCGCATATATTGAGTCATCAAATATATAAAATTTCTAAAATTATAAAAAAAATTTAAAAGATTTAATTTTGTTTTATTTCCTATGAAGTCCAACAAGTGCTGATATACCAAAACACATTGAACAAGTATCAGCCCATGTCCGGGAGGTTCAGATCATTTCTAACCAAGAATTGGAGCATGGGCATGCAGTTCATTACCTCCGGTACATGGCTTCCTTATCGTCCAGCAACTTTGTGGACGCCTCCTCATCCCAACCGGGAAATAGTGACCGGGCGATGTGGTCGTTGTGGTTCCCACTGATATTGTCGACGTAGAAATTTGAGATGACCAACTTGGGCCTAATGACTTATTTTTTCGATATCGAAGTTATACAAGACAATAGAGGAATTTTTTATCTCACAAAAAAATTATGTAAAGGAGGTTTTAAAGAAGTTTTCCATGGAAGATTATTACTCTATAGATATACCTATTGAATATGGTACCAAGTTGACCAAGAAATGTGAAGGTAAATACATTAATCCAACTTATTATAAAAGTCTAATTGGATGTTTAAGATATTTGACATGCTATACTATTTGAAGTTAGTTTAATAAATAGATATATGGAAGCTCCTACGATATCTTATTTAAATGTCATTAAAAGAATTTTGTGTTATATTAAAGGAACAATTGAGTATGGAATATTTTGTTCATCATCCAAAAGGTTAGAGCTTATTGGATACAGTGACAATGATCGGGTCGGAAGCTACGATGATCGGAAAAGAGTACAATTGGATTTGTATTTTATTTTGGTAAAACTATATTCACTTGGTCTTAAAAAAATAGCAGATTATTGCTCTATCAAGTTGTGAAGCAAAATATATAGCAGCATCTTCTTGTGTTTGTTATACAATCTAGATAAGAAGATTACTCTAAGAACTTCATATACCAGAAGTCAATTAAGATTTAGATTGATAATAAATTAGCTATTGCCTTATAAAAGATCAAGACAAATCAAAACATATCGACACAAGATTTCATTTTATAAGAGATCATATCAGAAATAAAGAAGTGAAGCTACATCATGTCAAGACAAGTGAACAAGTGATCGATATACTTTCAAAATCTTTTAAATTTGAAATATTTCAATAACTTCCAAAGAAACTTGACTATTGATTTAAGGGAGAAACAAATTTAAGGGAGAAGAATGTTAGAATTAAACTAATAAAAGTATCATAAAAAGGTTAATTTCATCAAAAGAAAGATTCATCGTATCAAAAGTAAAAATAAATTAAATGTAAGTCAAATTGACTATTGATAATTGAAATAGTTTCTTAAAAAAATAATTTATTTTAAATATATTAATATAATATATCTTTGACGGTTATATAAACCGCATATATTGAGTCATCAAATATATAAAATTTCTAAAATTATAAAAAATTTAAAAGATTTAATTTTGTTTTATTTTTTTTTTATTTCCTATGAAGTCCAACAAGTGCTGATATACCAAAACAGATCATTTCTAACCAAGAATTGGAGCATGGGCATGCAGTTCATTACCTCCGGTACATGGCTTCCTTGTCGTCCAGCAACTTCGTGGTCGCCTCCTCATCCCAACCGGGAAACAGTGACCGGGCGATGTCGTCGTTGTGGTTCCCACTGATATTGTCGACGTAGAAATCTTCGGTGATGGGGACGCCATCGTTGAACCCAATCTGCAAGAAGAAGAAAAAGAGTTCCTGCAGAGTGATCCGAGAGAGCAGGAAAGACGCATGGAACGCGTACCTGTTGCAGCATCTCCCGGAAAGCACAGTAGTGAATGGGATCGGAATCACAAAGCGTGCCATCGATGTCGAACAGTATGGCTTCCAGCGGAGCAAGATGAGACAAGGAGCGTCTGCTGCAAGCAGAGGAATGATCGAAAGCACAGTGCACGCGTTAAACAAGATCTTCTCCAGGTGAAGTCACAGTGAGAGCAAACAAGATTATAACAGTGAGAGAGCGATACGTTTCTGGCGATGTGTGGGAGTGGGAGGAGACGGACATCTTCCCAGCCGCGGCGGTGAAGCCGATCCCGTTGAGTCGGCGAGCTGTGGCGACGCGGGGACGGATTCCTTTGGTGGGTAGGAGGGGAGAGGAGTGGCGTGGATGGGGAATGGAGAGGAGATCGGCGGCCATGGGAAAGAGGGAAGAGAGGAGGGGGGATGGATTCGTGGGATCTCCTTCGTAGTTGGCGCCGCCCTCTCCGCGCTGCTATCGCTGTTAAGCAGGCAGAGTCGTGGAGGACGCCGCGATCGTCCCCGTGGAAGTTTGATCCGAGGACCGCAATAGGAAGACAAGTCTGCTTTTAACTCTAAAGGAGGAAAAATTGGCTGCCTCAGCTTGACTGCAACTCTTTAAGCGATCTGACTTCTTTTCATTGTGCCTCTCACATAATGGTACTTAGTTATATGAGACTAATAATACTTGGCATTTTCATAGCATATTTCAGTCACACTTATCTAGAGGGAGAGAGAGAGAGGGATGTAAAAGCTTTCATGTAATCTCAAACACAAGTAGGGATTGCCTACTGCTTTTCTGGATCTGCATAAAGATGCTTCATTTCAAGCATGCAGATGCACATCTGTGGAGAATGTTCAACCTGGAGTAGGCACAAAAGCATTAAGCCTTTCTCATCCACCTTTTGCTCACGTCAAGCTGTGGAGAAGCCAACACCAAGGAGTTCCCAATTCAGTGTAGGAGCTTCTCCTCTTCTGATTCCTATGTCTAATGATTACAGGTCAATGACGATATTAATCACCTACCACTTCATTCTACATAATGTTCTGCTTGCAACTCACAGAACAGCTTATTTCCTCAAAGTTCATTTTGCCAATGCATTGTATGGATCATTACTATAGGTTTAATGTGTTGTTCTTCAAGGAAATATTGAGATGTATGTTCATGTCAGGAATATCATAACAAGAAACTCACCAGTCCTCGACACTCCAAGGCTACAAGAAAGCTGTTGGCATTTGAAATTTACAGTCATTGAGCATCATTTGCCATTGTCTTTATATGCTAAGCACATCACTTGATAATACTTTTAGGGTTGTAAGTCTATTAGAAGACTGTTAGAACTTAAAAAGTCAAACCAATTCAAAGAGGTCTGCATCATTTTCTCTATAAATATGCCCAGCTTAAGCTTCACTTCCTCACAAACTCTCTTCTTCGCTGCTTGCTGCTTCTCCTCTTGCTTCCATGGCTCTGTTCACTCAAATCTTGCTCTTCTGCTTGCCTTCGCTTTTATTATGGCTGATGTTCAATTGTGTGAGGTATACAGCTCAGAATAATCTGTTTCATAGAAGAATAAAGTCATATCAGCTTAGTATGTAACTCTGGATTTACTGCTGCTGTAGACAGAACTTAATATATAAGCTGCTGGAGAGGAGCAATGGAGCAGTGTGGGCGGTAGTGTCTCCGCCAAGAACTTAATGCCATTACCGCTAACAAATTTCGGCATCACTTGCTATGAATTTTTCATTTCACCAAAGAAATAGGCGAACAACTTGGCCTCAGGCCAGATTCAACAGATCATCAAGTAGCTAATTCATCAGAAGAATCAGAAGCTAATCCTAAAATCAATAGCATGAAAACTCAATCATGTGGTGCTCATTCCTGCAGACAGCTAACGACCAATTTAGTTTTAATTAAATCATATCATCAGATATCCTTTTCATCAACAACATATATTGTGCAACACTCTTCCCATAATTATATTAACAGGTTGCTGATCATATTCATAAATATTCCACTAAACAAGGAAAGGTGGTGCCTGATACACAAGATATATTAACATACAGTTAGTCCATATGCTTCCACACTTGGCCAGAATTGTGGTAGTTAAAAGTCGTTCAAACAAAAATGATTCCATTCTCCTTTATGGTGTCGAGTACAATCGCAAGCTTGCCTTCAATTCTCTCATTTTTCTTGGGTTCATAAGATAGTGCGAATACGTCTGCATCCTTCGATCTTTCAGCAATCAGTTGTCCAATGGTCCGACAAGCATCATTGTCGGTCAGGGATGGCAAAGTATTCCTGAGATCCTTTGCATTCGTGCTTGCAACAGAGATAACTTTACTTGTTCCCCTGTGCATCACTTTTGCATGAATGAATCTCTTAGAGAAGAAAACATTTAGCAAGAAAGGCCGCATATACATATCTGTTTTTTGCTTCCATGACTTTTTATTGGGTCTCTTCGCAGCTTCATCTCTCGATCTACGAGTCCAAGCTGCTTGAACCACACCAACCTGCAAAAGGATTATTAGGGAACCAGATGTATTGCAATAGAGTGAATAAGAGATAAATACAGATGTTCAGCAAGTTGCAACCTTAGCGCCTAAATAACATATCTTTTAAAACACTATGTCAACTACTGGTTAAAAAAACACCATAATTTGAGTCTACTGTTTGTTAATTACCGATAAACATCTCTATTGATCCATGAGATTAGACAGAATGCCTACGCAGAATTATACTTTAACCATACCAAAGATAAGCTAGGTTCAGACCATACTTGGCCTAATGTAAGCGTTGAACTTTCACATAGGTCAAGTACATGGCATATACCAGAAAATTTTCCTCCTCGATTTATCTAAATATTCAGTTTCATTCTCGATAAGCTAGTCTATTTGAGTGTCAATCTACAATTTTAAGCAACAGGTAAAAGTTTTTCTTTACAATTTTGGTACTGTTACAAGTTGTCATGGAAGGTATCTCCTGCTGCTTGCAACACATCTTTAAGTTCTTACAGATAATTATCATAAACAATGCTAAAGGATATAATAAATGAAGTAAGAGGCTTGCAAATCTGCAAACAAAGAAAACAATGTAAGAGCTTTTCTTGGAGAACTGACAACCTAGTCTCCTGCATAGTAGGACAACAACAAAGGCAAGGAAAAGTATGCCCATCTACCATCTTAGAATTAATGTTTAGTAGAAAATCCACACGCTTTCTAATTTCCTGGGTTCATGTACAAAATCACATATAAATGGACATGATTTCCATTCCATGTGCACATTTTATCAAACACAATCATGGGAAATTGTACCTGTAATAACTTAACCCCTTGAACACTCTTTGTGATTACTCCCAACCTAATAATCAATCTTCATATTCTATCAAGTTCCACCATGCCTGAAAACTTATACTCTAAGATATCCAAAATCCTAAACCCTGATCCCATAAATTATGCTTTAAGAACAAGCCCGATATCATATGCCGCTGCTAGAAAAATCAATACCCTAAAAAAGGCTACTTGTTTCACTGGGAACTAATTCCTCATTCGGATAACAAAAATCAACTGTAAACAGAGGAAGAAAGAAGAAAAATGAGAATTTTAGCAATACTAACCTGCCGACTGGGTGTGATTGAACTGGGTGGCTTGCGGAGCTGCTGAGAGGAGATCGGCACGAGTGGGATCGACGATGACCACGAAAGAGAAGAGGGCCGCTTCTCCAAAGGGCTTCTGTTGGTCCCAGAATAAACCGGGGAAGGAGAGACGCAGTAGAGAATGGCAGCAGCCGTAGAAGAAGCGACAGAAGCCGAAGCTACTGCCATTCCAGTGCGTGAAGGCAATAGGTGGCGGCGACGGCGCGGTGGTGATGATGGGAGGAAAGCAGCCACTGGATTCTGACGGAGATGATCTGACCCCCTTTAACCCCATCTTAACGGTTAGACTAAGAGGCTCAGGTTGCTTCCACGTGGATCCTATGGACGGTGGATTCACCAACCGCATGTAAACTTTCTCTGCGTCACTGAAAAAGTAACCTTCGTCTTATCGGAACCCTTTCCCATCCCGTTTCCATTCCTCCAACGGGAATTAGGGTTTATCCTCAATCGAACCAGGATTTTGCTTGCGCTCATGTTTGCCCCAAGAACTTGGCTTTATTGTGAATGTCGTCGACGTTGCTCTCTAATATCTCGCGTGAATCGAAGAGCAAACTTTATCTTGAATCTTGCTGCTTCGCTGCTTTGTAGGGTTTTGATTTGGTTGACCTTCAGTTCCTTTTGATTATATTGAAATGATGTGCATAAAGATCTGATCTTTTGATACGAACGTGGAGGCGGATACAGAAGCAACGGCTGGGCGCCTCGATATCTACCCTTTCTTCCACCTCCCCCAGAGGAAGATTTCGGGATCAAGAACCCTAGTTCCTTTTTCACTGTTACTGTGTGCCAACAGATCCAGAAGCACAAAGGGTGGCTCGAGTAACTTGACTTCTTTGTTGCTTCACGACAGTGGGGGAGTTCCTGGGAATTCAGAGGCCGCCATTACGGTTACGTCCCGAGAAAGAGGAAGAAATCGCCAAGAACCATCGTAAAGGTAGTGGCTGGAGGGAGAGGAAGAGCAGAGGTCAGCGATGCCGAGGGCAAGTTGGCGGCCGAAGACGCGGAAGCGGAGGCGTCTCACGGCGGGTGGTTGCCGGACACCGATAGCAAGCGCGTGATTGGACGGCACAGCCGGGGCCCACACTCGCGCCAATAGCAAAAGGAGTGTGCTTGTGGGACCCGCTCGAGTGAAACGCTGCACATTCGAACGAAGAAAAGGTGGAAAAGATTTTTTAGTCCCTGCGGACATAATTCGTGAGCGTCATCGCGTAAATGTACACGTGTTGACTTATTACTGGTCGAAGATGTGTCCTACGTTGACAAAGTGCAGCAGAGCCATGAGGGCGTCTTCGTTAGTAGAGAAGGGGAGTCGCCATGTCGCGGACAATCGACTTTGTAACCGTCCATCAATCACTACGGATCTCCCGCGCTCGCCACGTGGTGGGAGATCATTGCTTGCTTCGTCCACCAAATACAAGTGATAAAATGCGAAAGAGGGAGGCAAAAAGGGCAGATTTTGGTGGTGGGACGAGGAGACGAAGAAGATTTTGCCAGGCAAGAGAAAATTGAGCTCGACCGGCCGTCGCGATCGCCCGACGAGCGCATAGGTTTTTCTTTTTGATCTTTTTTCTTGTTCGTTCAAAACTGTCAAAGAACCAATTCTTTTGTACCAGAGTTTGCGTATCTTTTAGTAGTTTGCGTGTCCTGTGCCGGCTTCTTGGAACTAGGGTTTCCGGTTAACGAGATTGGGTCTTTGATTGGCCGGTAATTGGAGGAAGAAGAAGGGGTGGAGCGTTAACCGAAGGGCTTAGAGATCGACCATGGCGTGTAAGGGATTCTGGGAATATTTGTTGAAGCTTCTCAACTTTCTACTGACGCTCACCGGCTTGGCGATGGTGGGATATGGGGTTTACTTGCTGATGGAGTACAATAAAGTCTCTTCTGGCGGCGACGGCGATGACCAGGTTGCACCGACAAGCAACGATCCCAAGTTCTGGATGATTGGACGGCCCATGCTCGTTGGTGTGCCTCTTTCTTCGAGTTTTCTCGATCATCTCCCCAAAGCTTGGTATGCAATACTTCTGATCAATACTCAAATTTGAATCTAATAAGTTTTTTGCTAAAAAAACTACACACCAAAGTATGTTTTATGAACTTAAGTCATGTCTGCATCCACCAATATTATCTTCCAGCTCAATGACTCGGACAAGGAAATGATGTGCCCGCAGGCAAAGAAAGCATTTTTCTTTGTGTATTTATCTACTTTCATATTTTGGATCCTCTAACTCGAACCTATCTACTCCCCTTGTTATACTGGCATATATTTTTATTTAACCCAAAAGTTTACTGTTGTACTTGTTTGCTGTCAGAATCTCATTGCAGAATTCCAATCCTATCATCTTATCTGAGTCAATTAGTTAAGCTGCCATAGCATTTTCCTTTTCGTACTCTTCTTGCATCATACCTTTCTAAAAAAACAATTGTTTTGTTTCTAGCTATGGTTTTATATAAAATATTTCAAAGACAAACGGTGTCTTATTTCCTTATCTATAGTATGTTTCCCTTTCAGTCATCCACTGGATTATCTGTTCAATTAGATCAATAATTCAATGTTATTGCAGGTTCATTTATTTGTTTATTGGTGTTGGGGCTATCCTCTTTGTCATATCGTGCATTGGCTGCATTGGAGCAGTGACAAGGAACGGGTGCTGCCTGTCTTGTGTATCCTGACCTTTTGAAATTAATATATTTTTATTTACTAAAGTTTATTACTTGCGTTTCTTGGTGGTATGTTTTGTCCTTATTGTACATGATATTGTGCCATTAGTTGGAAGTGCTCTTGCAGTTTCAGGTTTATTTAGATTGAATTGAAAATGACAAACCTAATAAAGTGATAGAGCTTTGCGACCTTTGATTTGCCTGTAACCTATGTACTTAGCTTCTGTTTTAGACAAAAGATAGAGATTGAGCCATAAGTTTAAGTGCTATAGCAATTTCAGGCTTATTTATATTGAACTGAAAATGACAAAGCTAATTAAGTGATAGAGCTTTGGGCCCATTGATTTGCCTGTAACCTGTAACCTATGTATTTTACTTCTGTTTTAGACCAAAATAATCCTCAATTGTTACTTTTTTTTTCCCAATGAACAATTGTTTGCTCTTTTGATTGTCTCAAATCACTGTGGCTGGTTTGTGTTTTTTGGCTGGCTTCAGAGGGATGGATTTTGCTTAATTTAGACTGCTTAGTGGCTTGATATTGTAGGAGGAAAATGTTCATCATAATAATAATTTTCATGTCATTTAGATTACTACCAATATGCTCATTCCCTTTTAGTTTGGGCAGTTCACTGGCCTCTATGCTTAATATGTTTCAGCTCAACCTAGGTAATTGTAGAAGTAAATATTAGGTACTGAGTTTGTTTTTTCTTGATAATTTTATGTGAATAAATTTTCTTTCCTCACAGATGGCTCTTTCCTTGACCATAGATAGTATTCTTTCTTAGTGATATTGCTGATTCTAGTTGAGCTGGCTGCTGCAGCTTTCATATTCTTCAATCATAGCTGGAAGGATGTGAGTTTTTTTAGATCTCTAACTTCTATTAAGACATTCTATCCCAGTAAGTTCCAACATTAAGTCCTCTGCAGCTTATTCCTGATGATAAAACTGGGAACTTTGACACTATATATGAGTTTCTGGAGAATAACTGGAAGATAACAAAGTGGGTTGCTCTTGGAGCTGTTATTTTAGAGGTAAGTGTGCCATATGAACCGTTCTATTCCTCTAGCACTGATGTAAAAAGAATAGCATAATCAATATCTTGGTCCATTCATTATTGCACCATCAATACTTGTTCCTTCTTATATGTTGATGCAACAAGCACGGATTATCTGTATTGACACATTTAACTGTGTTGTCATTCTTATACTGTAGAATTTCATATGGAATAAAATGCTGGTCAATCATAAAAAATACATATTCAAAAGAACAGATGTATGATGAAAAATAGTTCCTTTCTGATATCACCTAACATTCTCCTTTGTTGTGCCAATTGACTATTCTTTATACATTTTTTTCGTGTTGCATTTCACTTGATCCTCTTCAAACTGTAATTTCCATCATGGACCTTGTGGCATGGATGCAGGCTTTAGTGTTCGTGCTATCTCTTATGGTAAGAGCTGCTGCTAACAGAGCCGTCGAGTACGACAGTGATGATGAGTACATCCGACAGCCGCTAATGAATCGGCAAGGAGTTCCACCTGTTCTTGGCACTCTCGACCATCGTCCGAGTAGAAACGACGCCTGGAGCCAACGAATGAGAGAAAAGGTAATATCTGTGCTTTGCAGGAATTGTCTATGCATTTTTATTGCTGTACCTAATTCTCCTTTTGTTCTTTGCTCCTTTTGCTTCAATGATAGTACGGTCTTAATACCTTCGAGTTCGCATACAAACAATCAAACCCTAGTAGATATCAACAAGCCACTGCATCTCAGGCAGAAGAAAGAGGGAGCCGCTGTATCATACTCTGAGCATCTCAACTTGGCGAGTTCTCATGCGCATAATCCGCTAGTTGGTTTGTCTTGCAACCTGTACAACTTATGAGATTTCTCTCTTTAGTCCAATGTGTAGGCTAAATTTCTCTTTACTGCATCCGTTACCTCTGAGATGAATAATATTTTGCAACAACTAAATTAATTCAATAGCATGTTTTTACATGAAAACACAGAACAGTTATTAACGGAGAAAACTATAATAAAAAAATGCATTTAATTACATTTATATAAGAAAAAATAAAACATAGTAACATGACCGAATTCCTTTTTTTGTTTAACAACAAATGAGCAAAGGGGAGAGGCTTTTTTTTTTATTTCTGTTCTATAATATAATACTACTGCTTGGGCCATAATTATTGTTGCTCTTTTTAAAAAATGAGAAATAATTGTTTATTACATTACCACCTACAAAAATACCTACAAAGATGCTCACACAAGAGAACTTGAGACTCCTACATGGACTTGATCTTAAGACTTCCACTTAGACATCTCAAGAGAGAAGCAAATTACTGTTGTTTTGAACCTTCGGAAGACCAACAAAAACTGGACATGTCTAATTACTAGTACAAAAAATCATAAAGAACATGATGAATAGAACTCCTACGTAAGTCGCAAGATCAGGGCTTGGGGAGGATGATCAGATCATCTCGGAATATCATGAGTAACATCACGGATGTATGTCAGTGGATTGACAGACAATGAATCTTCACATCACTTCAGCCCCCCAAACTTCACAAACACATTCAACAACTTCACGACGTGAAATCAAATAGCAGCAGCAGCAGAAGAAGAAACAAAAAACGTAAATATATCAAAACAATACTGAAACGAATCCGAAGAAGAAGAAGAAAAGGCTCAGAACTTCTTAGAGGGTTTGTGTCACCGTCAGCGATGGTTGGATCCATCTCCGGGGCACAAGGATTGGGTTTCTTCATTGCCTTTTACCAAATAGAACAGCGACGAGGTAGAAGAAGCAACGAAAGAAATAGAGGCAGAGATGAAGTCCGACTTGTGAGGAATTGGGTTGAAGTTGTTATCGGAGAGACGGCCGCTGGTTATGTTATATAGTGGTGGTGGGAGGACGAGACGAAGAAACCCTAGATTTTGTGATCGAATTACGTCGATTTGAACCGTCGATCTTAACCAGACCTGCGAACGCCGCCACCGTGTTGAGCCTCTGCCCATTTAGTGTTGATCCTTAGCTTATCAAAAATATTACATATGCCATATATATATACATATATGTATGTATAGCATATATGTATGTATATATACATATATACATATATATACATATATATATGTATATACACCAACAATTAAGATGAAACTGTTTAGTATTTTTCTAATTATTCCTGCCTTCATCACCGGGATGTCTTCTAAAACACAAGAAGACTAGAAGATGATCAATAGATAGGCATTAATCTCAGTAAAAAAAAAGAAAATTCCAGAAAATAATCAAACATGGATTTCACCTCCAAGCTTTCTAAGATCGAATTTTTAGAAGTGAGATCGTTCGAACACGAAAGAGAGAAGGATAATCGAACTTTCAAATGAATTGACGCACAGAAAAGATCAAGAACAAAAAAGAAGAGAAGCCCTCAAAACCTGGGTAGGAAGATTGGAGGTCGACTACACCGCCTGGCTTACTCTATCTGCCTTGCCTTCTTCGCCTTCTTGCTGCCTTCCCGACTCTCCCCTTCCCGCTGCCATGGCCGATGCTCCCTCTCAGTGTGATGATTCCTGCCGTTCACTGGTGGTTAACAAACGCCGCGTCCCCCCAGAGCGGGAAACGCCTGTTCAACCGGCTCTTCTATGGATTCCATCCATGTAGCGAAACGGGAAACGTCTCTGGGGAAAGTTTTATGTTTGCTTAATTGATGGAACTCTGTGCCGTCGGATGAAACTTTGAACGGCCAGCACTTCATCCACCACCGTTTTCACCCCTTCAAGTGGTCGCGAGAAGAAGGGAGAGGAGAGAGAGAGAGAGAGAGAGATCACAGAATGGTGGGCGGCGGCGGCGGAGGACAGCGGGTGGCGACGATGCTGCCGTATCTCGTGAAGACGCTGCGGAAGGAATCCATCAGGCCCTCAAATCGAACCCTACCTTCCCTTAGGTCTCTTCCTATCTTATAGTCACCACCGCCGTCATCATTTTCCTCCTGTTAAATCTTGATTTCGAATGTTCTCGTTCTCAAGTTATATTTCTATCGTGCTTCATGGATTGTGCACGACCAGGCGCACGTTCTCGCTGTATGATCAGATTAATCTCATCGACACCGTGCCTGAAGACCAATTGCGTTTCCAGTGGTATGTATATCTCCTCTAATCGCCCTAATTAGTGTTCGATCGTTTACATTGCATACTATGTATATAAGAAAGTTTTAGGTTCGTGATCTCTTGATTATGTGCTTGATTTAGATCTGGCGATCATCCTGATGATATTGGAGATGAATCCTGATGTTTGAGATGAACCCTTTCTGGTTTGAACGTCCTTTGACGGTGAATGCCAATTTTGGAGGTCATAGTATCTTGATTTTTAGGGGTTCTAAAACTTTAGGGCTTAGTATTAGTTAATAATTATGTTGATTATTTTTAGGGTATAATTTCTGTCTCTTAGCGAGTTTGTTCTACGGCGAATTCTCAGAAAAAGCCGCTAACTTTGGGTTTTTCCCGCAAAGCACCTCAAGGTTGAAAAATTCTCGTGGAGCGCCCCTAGTTGTATGAAAAAATCATTTTGCCTCTGTATCCTAGTTGCTTCTCTGCTTGTGCCTAGCAGCCTGGCCCGCCAACCCTCGCCTTTCCGTCGGTCCTCGTGCAAAGAAGTAGGGGGAGGGGAGGGGGGCAATCAGCATTGCCAGCCTACACAGGGAGGCATAGGCGACCAGGAGAGGGGACGGGGGTAGCCGGCATTGCTTTCCAATCCGCGCACGAAGGCACAGGCAGCTAGGGGAGGGAGGAGAGCGGCCGGCGAGGGTCGTGGTCAACCACGATATGTGGGCAAGGGCCAGCGGATGAGGCTGCCAAGCGTGGGCGGAGGGAGGCGGCCGGCGGGGCGGAGGCATGGTGGAGGGCGGTGACTGATAGGGGCAAAGTGGTCATTTCTGATAAAAGGGGTGCTCGGTGGGAAAACCCAAAGTTAGGGGCTTTTTTCGAAAATTCGCCCTTTGTTCTAAATTATTAAGTATTATTTGGTGAGAAATCATTGAACATTTGCTTTTTGAAAGGATTATTAAGATTGACTCAATTCCAGTGGATTCAGGATGAATTTATGAAGTCGCATTGTGTTGTTATTTTTGGTACTCAATGGGACAAATATATACAATATTGCTTCATTGGTAGATGACTGGGATGTTTCCATGGGTTCCCTTCTTAGGTGGGTAGAAAGCCAAATTCTTAAGTATGAAAAGTCCCACAGGAGGGCATAAATTTTAGTGAAGTCTGTTATGTTGTTGAATGCTTGGACTTGGTTATGGGTTATTACAAATGTTTCTAGCTTTGATGTCCCAAATGCTATTAATAGATGCTATGGAGAAGTTTTCTCATAGTGTATATGTTCTTTTTTTATAATTTCCATGAAGATATGGCTACAGTTTACTAGTATTATTTTCTGAAAATATTATTTCATTATGTTTATCAATCTGTACAATGAACCTTAAAATGGATTAGATACCACCCAATGATGTCTCATCCAATGTAATTTAGAAAGAAAAGTTCTTTCATTTTGTATATGATTTCTTAGCTTCACTACAAGCTCTTGATGCTTGATGAGATTTTGCTAAAAGGTTATCCATTGTAAGGGACATTAAACTTTGGAGCAAGATCTTCAATCAATTGCCAACTCCTTGAAACCTTATCCCTATAGTTTTCAAACAAGAATCAATTTACTGAGCATGCCAGGTGCGTAAAGGACAAGCAAGGGCTTCCACACTTTGTTAGTCAGCAGAACTGTTGTGAAGCTGGGTAACACAAGCTTGATTGAGGTTTTGGAAAAGAGAGGTGTAATAAAAATCTGATAGTGGATTTAATTGTCATTGCTCAAGCGATATGTGGTGATAGTTTCATGTATGGTACAATGGGCATTTGTTTCTGAATTTGTACCACGTTAGTTACACCGACTCACGCCATATTCCTGACTTATGGGTCTACTGGAGCTACCCACTTTGATTAAGCTAACCACATGTATGTTGTCAGATACTTAAAGGTCATTTAAATGCTAAGTTCTTATAGCTTAACATTTTGTCTTGAAAAGGGCTGAAGATTGTTCTTACATTTTGTCATGAAAAGTGATGAAGACAATAATGGGTTGTTTAAGCAAAAAAAGGTTGTATTGTTGTCACTGTCTTAGCCAGCCTCCTTACAGAACTGTCGTCAACTTTTAGAATGACTAAAAGATTTTTTTTCATGAATGAGAACTTTCCTTTCTTATGGCTGATGAGAACTCATAAGCTGATTCTTAACCTTATTCACTGGTAATGTATTTCTTATATACCTTGTATATGCAAAGGTTTCTCCTCAAATAATTTGAAATGATCCAGTATGGCGTGACATTGACATCCATACAACCAGTTTGTTTAGTATCAGTCTCACTATCTGAGCCTGGCCCCACCCAAAACAATCAGTTCTCTCACCTACGCAAGCAGAGCTGTCTAAAGTTAAATTTTGACAGACATGCCTTTTTAAATACACATATTTAGCCATGGAATTTGCAAATGCTTGACTATATAAGCAAAAAATGAAATACTTTAATTTAGAAAGGTGTTCTACCCAATGCATTGTCAAATATTCTGTTTATGACTAATGGGAACAAAGACAATGTTACCTTCTAAAGATTAGTGAATCATGCCTTCCAGAGATGTTCATAGAAACAATGACTTGTGTTTTTCTGTTATGCTTTAAATTTGTAGCTTCTGTGTCTGCTAGAATTCTCTTTGAAGTAAATGTATTAGAAAGTGATTCTTGTTTAGTCCCTTGCTTAAATATTTTTTGTGATTTTGATAGAATCGTGAGCATTGCCTTCTTTAGTTCCTAATCTAGGCATGTAGGTGAGCTGCAGCAGGGGCTATTTCTATAATTGATTGATCTGATTATTCGATTATGATAATATCATTTTAATTTTAATTTGTAGGTATGGCGATACAGGATTTACTGTCAATGGTGTCAAGTATGAAGGCAGCTTGCTTGTTGTGGAAAATAAGCTCATGACATGGGTACCAAAAACATTTTCTGAGATAACCCCTGAAAGGTATGCACAAAATTTGCTTATAACTTGATCGTGTGCAGTTATTAATTGTGAAATTCTTGGGTTTTGAGTGAGAATGTATGATGGACTTATACGCCTCACTTGTTAGTCGTGTGCTTTAGCTTTGTTTGTTTATGTATATGAACCTGCAAAGTTCTTATATGTGATGTCGCTTACTAACACAAATTTTTTTTTTTTTTTGTACCAAGTGCAGTTTATCTGTATTCAAGATTCTGAGGCCAGTTCCAGGTATATGTTTTACAGGCACTTTGTTGTGTTCTTCTCACATATAGGCTTTCGCAGTTGCAAAATTTATGTGAATCTTTTTTATCTGCTGTATATCTGGCCTGGTATTGTTTTTTTTTCTTTTTTCTTTTAAACCAAGAGACTGAGTGCAATTCTGTATTCTTATTCGATACACTTTAAGAGTTGAGCTAGATACATAGTTTTCTGTGTTGATGCAACTTTTGTTGAAGCATGTGTGTCTATAAGAAAATTCTGGACTTTGTATTTTTCCCATGATATCTTAACAATTGATGGAGCTATGTCTTATTATGAATGAACAGGTTGAGATTTTTAATTGATAAGTATTATTAAATCTCGATATATCTTATTGAACTTGTCAAAATTTAGTACTTGTTTTCTGCATAATGTCTGACCTATCATCTTTGTTCTTGAGTTTTATTCTTTCCCTGCCAATTTTTACTTTTTTTGTTGCCTTATATTTTGATCTATTTTGATTGCTTATCATCTAAGTTTTATCTGCTTTTCAGAGATTCTGATTCTTGGCTGTGGAAGGCACATTCAGCCAGTAAGCCCTCAACTGCGACAATTCATTCGTTCTACTGGAATGAAACTGGAAGCAATTGACTCGGTATTCTTTTATACTCTATTTAGTTATTTTGTGTACTAATAGATTAAAAGATTGCTCTATTTTTCTTGTTGCACTAAAATAATCATCTGTACCCTTTATCTATATTAAATCCCTCTTATCTATATTTGAGTCTGCATCTGGTGCTTTAAGCAGGTGTGGTTCATCTATGTAATATCCCCTTTTTTTTTGACAGAGGAATGCTTCTTCAACTTACAATATATTAAGCGAAGAAGGAAGGCCAGTGGCTGCTGCCCTTCTCCCATATGGAGTTGCTTCGTAAATATTCCATGAACTACATAAGCATACATGTAAGTTCACTTCACTTGTTGTCGACGCTAGTTAGTTTTTCCTACCTTAGGCGAAGATAGTGGAGATATATTCAAACAACCAGATTGAAATTTTACTCTGCCATGTAATAAATCATGTAACCTGTTGCCTACTGCTTAAAATTCTATGCACTAATCACCTGTAACCTATCATGTGAAAAAACAACCCGATGGATTCATTCACTGGTTGCTGAGTCTCACAGTTCCTTCTTTTTTCAAATGTTAAAGACCATAATTCACATGGTGCTTTAAAACTCAGGCCAAGAAGCTCTCTGTAGATAAGATAGCATTTGGGACAAGTCTCCTCAAATTGGTGATGCATCACTGTGCTTTATGAATTATGAAGAAATCCTCCTTCCAGAAGAACTTGAAATGGCCAGCTTTCCTTCTCTGACTTTGCTCTCTCTGGTTTTTTTTATTGCAGCACCTTACGTAGTTTCTTGCTAGCTTTGTCCAAATAACACATTCTCAAATATAGGATCATTTTGTAGCTTTAGACACACCAGCTCGATGAGTACCAATCTACAGTCAGCATGGACTTTGGGTTTCTCGCTACGTTCTTGGATTTTTTTTATTCATTTTTTTATTCCTGCCAACGCTTCGACAGTTCTTTTCCACGTTCTTCGATGCTAACTGTGTTGAACATACTTTTCCCAGCTGGAGGCGAGAAAGTTGGAGTGTCAGAGAGTGTTTGGTCTTATTACTTGGGCGTTGGAAACTTAGTATCTATTATTTTCTTGTTGTCGCTCGTCCATACCAAGATGTACCTGACGATAAGGACGATATCACGTGGGAGAACTATTCGGATTCATATATTTTGGTTTCCGGTGGGTTAAGAATGCTGTCTACCATTGCCTTCAACACCCCATTATTATTATTATTATCCCCCGTCAGTTTGGCTCTCTCTCCTGTGTCATCCGTATTCTGCTCTAAGAGTTGTTTCTTTAAATCCTCTGTCGGCTGACATTGATACGTGAGAATAGAGGTTAGAGTCGAATCAGGGGACTATAACTACAACTCATCTTTTGGTTGATTTTTATTTTTAATAACAATGGTGGACGGAAAGATTTGATTGCTAAGAATCTAACATCAGTTACTTTTACTTTTCTTCGTTGATTCTCAATTCTTTTTATTTTTAGTGCTCTGTAATTATTGATCTCGTTTGACTCATCGGTTACACAGCATTCACCCGCGTGAGGATTGGATTGGTTCAGACTCGGCCCACATTCTCCATTACAGAAGAAGATAGAGAGAGCATATTCATCAAAGTTTCAAATGCACTGCACCCCACCTCCTGTAGCAGAGGAAAGGACGAGACAGCCTCTGGCTCTTCTCAATCCATGCCCAACCTGCAGCGGTGCACACAACCCAGAAATTGGATGACCTCCGATCGCCAAACTTGGAGGCCGAACCATCAATTTGCAGCCGTCTTTAGATCATCCATGCTCACTTCCGAGCACCCAAACACCACCCTGTGCATCGGCCGCGCCTCCACGCACGTTGGCCGCAGAATCCTCTCCCACCTGCACCCTCCTCCCTCCTCGAACTCGCACAGGAAGAACTCCCCCAGGTACGACGGGTTGTAGACGTACGCATAGTCCCCCTCGCTCAAGAACCCTATCGACCATAAGCCCCATCCCGCGTCGTCCACCAGCCCCTCCACCATCTCCCTCGGCATCCTCCCCACCTCCTCCTCCACCTGCAGCGTCTCCTCATCCACCGCCCACAGCCGCACGCTCTCGGCCCTCCATCCCGCCCCCGTCCCGCTCCCGCCCGCCCCCGCCAGCAGTAGGCGCCCGTTCCCGAACCCCAAGGCCGCGTGGCGCACGGTCGGATCCGGGATGCTCACCCGGCGCGTCGGCCCCCACCGCTTGGCGGCCGGGTCGAACCAGCTCGCGGTGAAGGGAAACCACTTGTCCATCACATACAACCTCTTCCCGTTCGCCGCCGCTGAGAACGCGGACGACCACCCGAAGGCCTCCGGCATCGGCTCGCTGGCCTCCCACCCGCCACTGCAGGCGTCGTGCACGTCGACGGAGTTCGCGTCGTCCTCGAACTCGCTCGTGCCGCCCGCCACCACGACGTGGGGCCCCACGAGGGCCACCACCGGGTCCGTCCGCCAGTAGCGCGGCGCCTCCAACTCGCGCCACACGGTGCTGAAGGGATCTCTGGCGAGGGCCAACCCGGATGGCGAGAGGGCGTAGAGGCGTGTGCCGCCGCGCTGGGAGCAGGCGTAGGTGGAGACCTGCGGCGCGGGGGAGTGGAGCCCCGCCGGAAAGCTGCACCAGGGCACGCGGGTTATGGAGCGCCACGAGCGGGAGAGGGGATCGAAGGCGTGGGTGGTGGCGGTCCCCCGGCGTCCCTGGAGGTAGAGGACGAGCCACGGCGGGGGGCGGCGGGGGGAGTGGCGGACGGAGGAGACGACGGCGGCCCGCCACGCCTTGGAGACGCGGGAGGCGGGCAGGAGGTCGAGGGCGGACACACGGGAGATGACGGCGTCGAGAACGTCGCCATGGAGAGTGCCTTCCGCCTCCTCCTCTCCTCCTTGTTGCTGATGTTTGCCGTGCATTCCCATTCCCAAATGACAACTCTCTCTCTCTCTCCCTCTCTCTCACACATGGAGACATTAATAGAATGCGCCGAAATCGAAGTCAACGCCGTGGCCAAAATGACACTGAGGATGCGCGACCCGCAGTGCATTCTTTAGTGCTCGTTACGGGCTGCTTCTAGAACATTTCTGTACCCTTCTTACGTACATGCGCCCTGATTGGCGAAACGGATGGGCCCCTTCTTGATTCCCCGGGAACAGCTCAGGAACGTGAGAAAGGCTCGATTCACAAGGACGAGAAGCACTGTTCCTCCAACTCCGTTGTCGTGGCTTGCACTTCGATCATACGAGGCGGCTAATGAACGGGAGAGAGAGACAGAGAGTTCGGTGGCAATGCGTCTACTAGCTGGCGTAGCGCTATGGAACAAGACGAGGATAAGTCACGAGCGGCACACTGCGGAACATCATGGTACTCGTGCCGCGTGTCGTGGGACAGTTCGTCGGAAGATGCATCGTTCCAGCGGGACTGTGAAAACAGAGCCTCCCCTTAAAGTGGCGCCGCACGTCACTGATGACGTGACGAGGCGAAGCGGTGGCATTAAATACCGTGCTCGTCGCTGATCGGCTTTGTTTGTGAATTTCGATGCCGTCGCACTTACTCATGTTTCATTCGGACGAAACCATATTCACAAGTCAACGTATGATGTGGATCAGCATACTTTTGCGCCATCCCTTCCCTTATGCCATCGTGTGATTGGCTACCGTTGTCGGCCCTCCTTTTGTCAACGCGAGCCGAGGCTGAAAGGTACGCGTTGGTCCCATCAACCCTCACTGTAGGAGAAGTATTCGCGCTTGACTCGGTCCGATGGACTGAGACAATGCATGCGTGTCTCTGATTTCTCCATGGTTAAGCATGACCGCTGCTGAGGAACATGCGGTCATGACGACGACTTCGGAGTCGGGTCCGATGTGGTCCGATCAAACCAAGTTCGACCCCCATTTTGACCGGGAGATGGAATTCCAGATAAAACCTTCACCTGGTAGGGATACGACACGCCCATCTGCACATGCAGAACAGTGTGTTGGGATTAGTTAAAGGGCCGAAATGTAAATTACTAGAATAAGGTGGGGGATGTTTCGGTTGGGCGGGATATTGAATTGAGAAACGCACGTGCCGTGAACAGGAAAAAGGGTGCAGCCATTACATAAGATTGACCCGCCGCGTGGCATGGGCGGTCAAGTGTCGAGTTGGTCATGTTATATAAATATATATATGTATATATATATATAGGTAATGGTTAATTTTATGTAATGGTTGCACCCTTTTTTCGGTTCATGAAAATATGGTAGTATAAGCATAATAGAGAAAATTTTACGTCAATACCACCGAGCAGTGTCATTTACATATTATAAATAGTACATTATTTGACCATTTGTTAGATATCGCCTGTATAGCTTTAACCCATGAATTATTATGATCAATTATAGAAAGATGGGATAAAAAAGATAAGTTTATAGCGAATGAAATGGAGATATTATTTTTGGTGTTAGATGTTTCTTTTATTCTAAATATGCTTAGTATCGAAGAAATAATTGATCTAAATGCATATTAATCTAAAGGATCGTTTACAAAGAAATATTTTTCAATGGATTAACCAATCCATAGAGATTTGAAAAAGTGGATGATACTATTGCATCTAGCTAAAAATAATTAATCAATGATGGATTTTTATCGACTATACTTATTGTATGTGTTTACATGTGTTTAGATACAGTTTTATTCGTTTTATTCATTTTAAAACATGTGAGTTTCAAAAAATATATTCAAGGGTAAGAGAGACATAGTAGATTTATGAGTTCTTAGTTCTCATACTCCTCAACCAATATGGGACTAAATGATCTTATCAGTATCAATCATTGATAATTTGAAGAATTTGAATAAGTTTAGTTGGGCAAAAACAGTTAACTCTTATAATTCTGAGAAGTCCTAGTAGCAAAGAGTACAAAAGTTAAAACAAAATGGAGATTATTTTTTTGTCAGCTATTAAAAATGAGCATTTTACAAATGACTATATTAATAATATCATTTACTATTATTTTATCATAATATTTATTTGATCTTTATTAGGGGTCATTTTATGAGCATTTGTTGTGCTTCAAGGCGTCAACCAAAGTATAATCTTCAAAATTTTGGAAAGGTTAATTCCCACAAGAAGATAATTAATAAAATGATATCAAAGATATAATTTGATAAAATGAGTTTATCAAAATTATTATTTTAAAAAATTATCCTAATGGTTATTTTTTATTTTTTATAGATCATTAAAGATTTAGTACTTTAGTCATGTGAGGCATGACTAATTAATACAGTTCACCAACTTCTGAGTTACCAATTGCGGAGGTACTTATGAGATACATGATGATGAGGCACCACCTACTTATGTATGTGTTTTTTATCGTGCACACAATTTATTCCTTTATTTTAGATAACTAGTTAATATTTTAGTTTTTAATTATGCAGTAAAAAGAGCAATCAAAGTTGTGAACCCCAATAAACAGAATACAAAAACTGTGATATATATGTTAAGATAATTAAGAATCTTATGGCCTTTATACTGGTTGTAGTAATGAACTACTTATGGATTGGTACCCAAGGAGTTTGGAAGCCTTCTAGGACGAAGATAGAAATATATGATCTACGAACCAACAATTATATATAGTTCTTAAGAAATAAGGAGTTATAGGAAGAAAAGAAAAATGTTACGCTACTGCTAGTACTATCAGACAGATATGATAAAGAAGACAAGGATGCATGTTATGAACTTAAAAAAAAAAATTTAAGAAATTTTCATTATTGAAGGCAAGACCAAAAGTTAAAGATGAAAATTGATTAAATTGAATTTATTTGATCTCGTGGAGTATTGAGAGAGATGAAGTTTCCGTAATTGAAGAAGAAGTGATAATAATCATTTGCGAATATGTTGTGGTGAGTTATATGTGGTTGCAATTGAAAGTTTTTATTTTATTTTATTTCATAGCATTTGGATCATTTCTTGATATCGATGCTATGATTTTGATGTTCAACCAAAATTAGGGTATCAAATATTAAGAGTTGATTTTTGGGGTCAACTTTTTATTATAGCTTAAGAACATATTTAAAAGCTCAAATGTCAAAATATATTACATAAAGGCATCAAGTGATAAGGAGAAAAAATGAAGAAAATAGAAAAATCATAAATTGTTTGGATTCTAAATATATAAGAAAAAATATTGAAATTTTTCTTTAAATTAAAAAAATTATTATAGAGGTCTCTCTTATTACAATTGAAAGCTTTTCTGAAAATTTTATGACATTTGGATTATTTCTTGATATCAAAACTATGATTTTAAAGGCCAACCAAAATCATGATATGGTATATCATGAGTTGATTTTTTTGGACTAACTTTTTATTATAACGTTGGGACATATTTAGAGGTTCATATGTCAAAAATATTATATAAAGTCATCATTTTTTTTAGTTAGCTTCATGACCATATAATATACGTTAAACATATATTTATTAAGTATAAGCAAGGTGACCAAAGTATTTTATTTCTTTAATGTTATTGTTTATGAACTGAAATAATTTGGAAAGACGACATATAGATTGCTTCTTTCAGTTGATAGATATACACAATATGGTAGACGACGATGTTATATATATATATATATATATATATATATATATATATATATATATATATATATATATATATATATATATATAATATGTGTATATAATATATATACATGTATATATATAT